ATAAGCATACATATGGTTTATAAGCTCTCTCTCTCTCTCTCTCTCTCTCTCTCTCTCTCTCTCTCTCTCTCTCAAACACAGACACTCACAGGGACAGTGCATTTGTAAGAAATTTCTGTTCTTCCTTGTTGGAGCCATATGGCATACACCTTGAGGTATTTGAAAAAATAAAGCTAAAATACATATATTTGCAGAAAGATCCTCACCGTGCATTGATGGTTCTAAAGCAAATGGAAAAGGCAAATGTGAGACCAGACTGTCAGACTTATAGCTATCTGATATGTAATTGCAATACCGAAGAGGATATAAAAAAGGTATTAATGTACTTTCTCTGTGCTCAGCTCCTACTTGATAGTTTTTCTTCTACTAAGTGTAAGTTTGCTCCTGGAAACTGTTGTGCATTTTTCATTGGTGAAAGCCATGCTTGTTACTGCGTTTTAGTAAGCCTCATGTATATCTAATAATCATGTCTTCCTGGTTTCAAATTAAACTGTTGTGAAATCTTTCATTGGTGAAAGCCATGCTTGTTCTTAACTCCTCATGAACTTTAAATGTGTGGAAGGTCTTTTGCTGGCAAGGAACTTGCTACTGTCCTAATAGGCGGCGTTATGCATAATTTTCTTAGTTTTTCTTGTAAAATTTTGTGGATAAGATCCTAGTCATGACTTCAAGCCTTTCAGTACATAAGGTGAAAGCACATGGTACTGCATGCACACGCATGTTCGTGCTGCATATGTACCGGAATAAATGAAACAGTGGATAAGAAAAGCAACGGTAGGGTTAAGTGTAGTAGACAATATTCTGAACGTTCTCAACTTCAACCTTTTTTTTTCTTTATATGTCTGCTGGGCAACCGATTTAATAAGGCCCTTTTAATGTGAGTTCAAAATGGTTTTCAATCACAGTCTAGAATGAAGTATCTCATTGTTACGTGAAGGAAAGACTAACCATGCTTCTCATAAAACGAGTGATGAAGAGAATGTTCAGAATGATTAACTCTCATTCAAATTTGAACTCAAAAGAAGAGAACGCTATATGACAAAACTCATATACATATATGTGGATGTGTGCTTTATAGTATGTATGTCTATATGCACTAACCAATGCACACTCTGGTTATTTTATGTATGGAGTTTTCTATGAAACTGATGGCACAAAATAAATTTTCCCTCTTGGCATTCTTTGGGACAAGATCATGGTGCTTGGATGACACGCTAACTAGGAAGAGTTTAGGTTTCAGGCACAATGAGGTGACTTTGTATCCGTACCTCTGGTGCGTAGTCAACAGTTTTTTCACAATTCGTACTTTGTTTTTCTATGATACATGGTAAAAAGCAGGCACTGGCGATAAATTTATTCGTGCATTAAAGTTTTGACAATGTACAGTAGATGCCACTTAAGCTACATAATTTAGTAAGCAATGCTTGGGACAAATGCAATTGTGTGCTTTGTTGATAACATCCGTCTTGATGTTTCCCTATAACTCATTTTCCACCGTGGACGAGTTGGTGCTTTGGAGCTTATGCGTCAGTTATCTTGTAATGGATCTTCTTCTTTTTTCCATTAATCTTGTCATGAGTACACAATAACTAGCCACTCATGTCTGCCTATTGCGTACTGGGAATCAGTTGGTGTATTATTGTCATTCTTATATGTTACGCCCCTAATGACTTCCTAGTTGGCTATAACTTACCTGGGCATTTTGACTGCCTTTTATATATATTGAAGGCATTCGGAGGGTCTTGTACAACATCAGAAAAAATGTAATTCTTGGCCTAAAATCGTGTGAAATGGGACACATTTTACCATAATTCAGGGTCTTTTATTGAATTTGCCGGTTTTTTTTTTTTCAGTAATACATGTGTTGGAAGTGCTGGAATATATTATTTTCTCCAATACATGGACCAATTGATATATATTGGATAAAGAGAGGGGAACTGAATAGTGGAAGCACCTTTTTCCCTCAAGTCAATTAGAAAGCTCTGTTCTGTGTGGCATCATTATGTTACATGTTAATAGATGCTTTTCCTCGGTGGCTGTATGTTTATGCTTCTCACATCAAAATTTTCTCATCTGCTTGCAGTACTATATGGAATTCAAGCGCAGTGGGTTACCAGTAACGAAGTATACTTGCATGGCCCTTATTAGTGCATATGCAGCTTGCGGGCAGTTTGAGAAGGCAAAAAAGGTAATTTTGTGTGGAGTAAATTCTTCTGCAGGACTCCTGCTACTCCTAGACTCGGTAGTCCTATGCATACCTTAACTGGAAAACACTGAAAGAGAAATTGTTATGATATACAAGCGTTCTGTATCTTTAGATGTTTCAATTTAACACTTAATGCAAATAAGGTAATAAGTGCTAATTTTGCTATCGATGTAAGTTCAAAATGTTGGGAAATAATTGATGGTTATTTAATAAATGGATTGTACCCAGTCCGCTGATCTCCTGTATGTCTCACCAGCTAACTAAAGATAGGAGTGTATCTATTCTCGGCATATTGTTCAACCTTCTTTTCATGGGGTATACATTTCAATGATATCTTGTCTGTGAGTTGGTGGTGTCTTCATCGTTTTTATCTTGTTTGTAGCATCTGTTTACACCTTAGAAGATGCTAAGCTAATCTTTGTGGGAACTCTTACTTAGAGGAAAACTAAATAAAAAACTAATTTGTTAATCCTCTCTCCCTTCTTTCTTTTAGCATTTTAAGTTTTGCAGTAATTTCCAATTTAAATTTTGATCAGTACTTGTTTCCTTTCTGGGACTGTCGGCGAAAGTTGCATAGTTCCTTATATTAAGTTCATATGTAAGATTTATGTTGTCATGACAGGTACTTGAAGAGGAGGGAGTACTCGTGAATGGTTCAAATGAAATGAAGAGCGCACTTGTCTCATCTCTTGCGTCAAATGGGAAAATCTGTGATGCTCTTGAAATGTATGAGGAATTCAAGCGGGATGGCTGCGATTTGGAGCCTAAAGCTGTTATCAGTCTGATTGTAAGTCTCACAAGGCAGCTCTAGGTAGTTATACTATGGAAAGGTGATGACATTGTATCATGATCTCGCAGGAGTACCTTCAATCAGATGGACAGCTGAGTAGATTGCTTAAGCTGCTTGAGGAGTTAACTGATCGGCACTTCTGGCTTGATGGATGTTATAGAATTCTCCTGTATTGTGTTCGATTCAATCATTTAAGGTGCTATATGTTATCCTTTGGGTCTCGGATGTGACATTGATGCATTCATTTGCTTATACCGTTTTCTTTATCTGATTCAGTGCTGCCATTGATTTGCTGAAGCAACTCAAAGATCGTATCAGCAATGATGAAATGGCCATGGAAGCAGTTTTTGATGAGGTTCAAACCTGTTCTATTTTATTATGCTGAAAACTCTTAGTAGTTTCAGTCAGGAAGTTGGCTTCTCAGATTGGAAATGCAAAAGATAACCGAGAATCGTAGTTAATATATGTTAGAAGCTCAGGGTTAATTATGCTTAGGGTACTTTTTGAGCGTCATTCTTTTGGATTCAACTGGATAAGTGGTTCTGTTCTTCCTTTCCCTCCATTTCCCAACCTCCCCTTCTCTCTATAGAGTCATTTTGAGTTATTTACGGAAATGTCCTTCTTTGTCATCAGTAGCAATTGCCTGTTAGCTTGCAAAGTATGCAAAATTTGACCGATGCATGCAAGGATGCTGGAATATATCAATCACTGCCTCTCTATCTTCTTCCTGCACTCGTGCAGGTGTTCTTCAGCATTTTGGAAGAGACAACCCGTCTGCAGATGGGCTTGGACTTGCTTCAAGTAATCAAGAATGATCTTGGCCTTGCCCCTTCACGAAAGGTTCTCGATGCTCTTCTCAGTGCTTGTGTCAGTACGAAAGACCTGGACAAGTCTCTCTTGATTTGGAAAGAATATCAAGCAGCTGACCTCCCTTACAATATTCTGAGTTTCTTGAGGTGATACTCTTAATTACTCTCTCAAGCTCCCATTAATCCGTCTCATTCAAGCGAATCAGATTTAAGTTGTTTAATCCTTGGCTATCATACGAGTCACCGACTGTATTTGGCAAGATTTTCAAGCTTGATGTGGACATCTGTACTTTATGAACATTGGTAGGATGTATCAAGCCGTTCTGGCTTCCGGAGACCTCAAGTCTGCAAGGATTGTGCTGAGCAAAATGCCCAGGAACGATCCCCATGTGCGCCTCATCATCCAAGAATCCCAAAGGGTATATGCTGAGATGGCATCTGAGAAAAAGACGGAGGAAAACCGAAAAACAAAGGTGACAAAGCATAAAAAGTCGAAGGTGAAAAGGTAAGTACATGGACTAACCGCATTCCTTTTCCAAGTACATTGTAGTTCCTAGGTCAATAGCCTCTTGTACATGTATGCCTTGATCCTGATGTGATTTTAGGGTAGCATCATCCTCGGACGCTCTCGTGACAATAGTCACGGGATTCCCTCGTTCGTTCGTCTGTCCTTATGATTACTAATATATCGAAAAGTTGGGGATAGCAGTACGAGAGATCTCTGAACTTTTTTCCATTTGTGGAAATGTCATCTTTGAATTTTTTTTTTTTTCACGAATTGCGTCCTCGGATTTTGATGATTGATTTCGTTTTGGTCCTTTCATAAAATAGGAAGGCGATTGCGAAATTTACTAACTAACGGTGTGAAGTGAAAGTGAAGATAATTATCGTTATATCTAAGTATTTACCTAACTTGTCATATCTCGGCTTTCACCTTTGCAGCTCTATACTTTCTAATAATTCTGAGAATTTACTAAGTTATGGGGTATTTGCCAATAGATACTTGTAAATGCGATTATCGTACGAAATGAAAACGTGATATTTCGTTGCAAAAGTTACTTGTCAGCGGTTGAAGGCGAAGGACTAATAGTTTCAATGTCTACGCTAGTTTCCAGACATTTAAGAACATAATGCCTTTGTGAATCTACGCTCTGATTTACCAAATGAAACAGTTAAAAAAAAGAAAACATTTGAGTAACAAAAAAAGAAATGATGGATCGTATATATTACGAATAATGTCGCCAGTGGTCTTTCTATTCCGGGCTAAAATTCACCACGATACCTATACTTTCAAAAATAATCCACCGATAATCCTTTAATTAAACTTGATCGTACGAGTGACTGTTGAGTTGACTACCTCGAAGTGTCGAGTTGGCTCATCGGAAAACACCGTGTATCGCGATTTGATTTGCGCATGCGGGGATGATTCGGGCTAATGTGACGTCTCTATGTAAAATCTCTTGAAAGAAACGGGAGAAAGATAATCTATTTAAACATATGAACCGTCTGAAATCCGCTATGTTATATAATACATATTGACAAAACACGAACCTTAAATTCGCATTCTTTTTAAACATGAATTGTCCGAGTGTGGTTTCAGCTCCTGTCGAAAACTTCATATCCTCGTCGTTCGGATTTCAACCGGGCATTGGTCAGAAGGAATTGGCGACGAGGATGGCTTGCCGGCACCGGGCCCTCGCCTGCTCCACCCTCTCCGCCAGCGTCTCCTCCTTCACCGCCGCCCTCACCATGGCCAGGTCCATCTCCATCAGCCGCAGCACCCTGAACAGCTCCGTCACCACCCTCTCCTCCACCTCCCCTCCCTCCCGCAGCGCCTCCGCCTCCTCCCTCGCCCTCCCCGCCACCATCTCCCCGGCCTTCGCCAGCAGGTCCGCCGACCCGAACTCCCGCCCCATCAGCCCCTCCAGCTTCTCCAGGAAGTCCGCGATCGCGTGGCCCTTGGGCCTCGACGTGTCGATCACCTTCGTCCGCCTCCACCCGACCTCCATGTTCGGCGGCTCCGGCCGGGACAGGGAGGGGCGGGGCCGGCGGTCGCGGACGATCTCGGAGCGGCGCCGCCGCTCGATGGGGAACTTGTCGGGGGCGATGGTGGCGTCGGAGGTCGGGGAAGGGGAGGGGAAGTCCGGCGGGGCGGAATCATCGGAGGTGCATTTGAGGGTGAGGAGACGGCGGCTGCGGTGAGGGCGATGGAGTGACCGGGGCGGCGAGAGAAGGGGAGTGGAGTTGCAGAGGGAGCGGAGCTGAGCGGCCATGGGAGAAGAGCTTGGGAAGCTTTCGAGGAAGAAGGAGAAGGAGATGGATAAGCTTTTCGGGATATTTTCATTCAGTTAAATATTTAGTTATTTTCGGCAATAATTTGTCATAAAACAAATTACTGATAACGTAGATTTTGTCCCCACTTGATGTCATAAACATTTTAATACTAATCGAAATTACTTTTTCGTGGGTTAATACCATGAATCCCAAACTGGTATGCCTATGACAAGTTTATCTCAATTAATTTTTTGACCACCAAAAATTTCAAATCGGTATATTTGTTATAAATTTACTCCAAATTAATTTTTTTGACTATCAAAAACTTCAAATCGGTAAGCTTGTGATAAAGTTACCATACGTTAAATTGAATTAATACCACGAAAAATCACATGTGATAAACGGAGGGGTAAAATCCCAAATTAGTACACCCGTCAACTATTTCGTGTCATTCAACTCAGCAATTTGATGGTAAAATTTCACACAAATTAACTGAGGATAAATTTATCACAGTTGTACCGGTTTTTTGTTTTTTGCGATAAAAAAATTAGTTTGAAATAAATTTATCACAAATATATTACTTTGGAGTTTTTCGTAGTATCAACAATTTACTAAAGGGAGAATGGTACTTATTTTTTCCATATAAAAATGCAAGTTGCTGTATATTATGAATTAAGTTATTCAAATTATTTTTCGACTTTTTCTATTGTTCAAAACTAATTTTTCTGTTATCAGTGATTAATAGTTTTACAAAGTAATTAGTTAACTCCCAGGGTCCAAAGTAAATTTTTTTTTTCTGGAAGGTCCAAAGTAAATTTAGTAGGTGAGTTTTAATTGAGATTAGTGACTCATTAAAGTAGAAAAGTGGATCGAAATATATCATAAGAAATACCTCATTCAAATTGAATGCTAATTTTCTCATTTTTGTTGTTGTCCTTTTTAAGGTTCAATTTGAAGTCAATAATTTGAAAAAAAAAATTCTAATTTTTATCATGTAACAAAAAAAACAATCTCGCTATCTACAAAAATGTTTTAGTAGGTGATAATGGCGATAAAATTACGAAAATACTATTCAAACTGTTGATTTTTACAAAACAAATGAACCCTAAAGTTTTGCAGATATGGCTGTGGTGCCGGCCGACATTGCATTCATGACGATAGAGCTCGTAATTAAAGTCCCAAGTCGGATGTCAACAAAAGCTAATTTTCTAAAATGTAAACTCGTTTGATTCATAGAGAGTACAACAAAATTGGGGAAAAAAAAATTACCAAAATTTTTTTAAAAAAAAATTGGACAAAAAATATGAAAGTTTAAAGACCAAAATATAAGAATTAAGAGCACATCATGGTCTAATTTGTAGGAGCTCTTCTTTCTTTACAGGCAACAAAATTTCCCTCGTCCGCTCACTGTTCGGGTGCTCACCGCGGCGCGCATATGCGCCGCGTCCCGCCGGCTTGCGCCCCCGCGGATCGGGCTCGAGGGGAAGGGAATAGGCGGCGGATCGGACGATGGCGAAGACCGCGCTCGGATGCGAACCGGTGGTCGGGACTCTGACCTCGTCGAAGAAGAAGGAGTACAGGGTCACCAACAGGCTCCAGGAGGGGAAGCGCCCCCTCTACGCCGTCGTCTTCAACTTCATAGACTCCCGCTACTTCAATGTCTTCGCCACCGTCGGCGGCAACCGTGTACTCCCCAAGCTCTCAGCTTTATGGGTTTTTGTCTCTCCTCGAGCAATCTGCAGCAGCTTAGCTAAACTGGGTTTTTCGTGGCATTTTTAATTTTGACCTGGTCAATACAATTTGGGTAGGACAATCGTTTAGAGACAATTACTTTGGCGCAAAAAAGTGGTTTACTTGTTCTGTTCTTTGTTTTTCCCAGGTTACTGTCTATCAGTGTCTCGAAGGGGGAGTAATAGCTGTGTTGCAGTCATACATTGATGAAGATGTAAGGCCAAACAACTTGTAGTGATATTTCTCCGGTGCTTTACCCTTTGTGGATAAAATGTGCATTCCGTATGAATAAGCTATCTAATGGAGCTTTGGGACTTCCATGTGCTATGTAGATCAGAAGGACGAGTCGTTTTACACGGTCAGCTGGGCGTGCAATATCGATAGAGCCCCGTTTGTGGTGGCTGGAGGAATCAATGGTATCATCCGTGTGATTGATGCTGGCAATGAGAAGATACACAGGGTACTTTTATTTCCTTATTTATGAACCATATAAAGCTACGCAATCTCGCCATGAATACGAATAAAGTCATTCTCTTGAAGATCCATACATGATTTTGTAGCCCTGTTGGAGCTTAAAAATCCGTCAGACGACCGTACTCATTGCCAATAATTCACGAAAGATAGTTGTTTTATGGAGGAATGGAGATACTTATTTGCTCTTCATTTATCTTTCCTATGTCATTCCTGTGCAGAGTTTTGTAGGCCATGGGGATTCGATAAATGAAATCAGGACTCAACCGTTGAAACCATCCCTCATCGTGTCTGCTAGCAAAGTAATGTCACAGATCTCTGTATTTTGCACGTCTGGAATTCTTTTTCTTCTAGTCTAATTGGTTAGTGTCCTACGGAAAAAAAATCTTTTCTTGCAAGATTAAGTCTTGACCTGCCAAGGATCCCGTGTAACCTGTACATTATGCTGGTTATTGCTTTTGACCTTGATCTGAATTGTCCAGGATGAATCCGTTAGGCTCTGGAATGTTCATACAGGAATTTGTATCCTGATATTTGCTGGAGCCGGGGGTCATCGCAATGAAGTTTTGAGTGTGGTAAGTCTCGACTGCATAGATTCTTATGTTCTATTCTTCTGCAGGCCCCAAGAGTCAAAAGAGAATTGAAGAAATCTATTTACTTATTCTTTTGCTATGTTGTTGCGGCATTATGTTGGCTTTTGTAGGACTTCCATCCTTCCGACATGTACCGTATTGCAAGTTGTGGTATGGACAACACGGTTAAAATCTGGTCAATGAAAGGTAAAGTTTGTGCTGGCTATGTACAGTTTGCTTCTAGTTGGCGATGCTTAAAAACACAGGACCTCTATACGTTGCACATGAAAATCTTTAGACGGACGATGCATTTTTTAGGGTTGGTTGCTTTTGATTTAAGGAGAAATATGTTCCTACTGTTGTATACTGATGGATCTAACATTAAATGAGTTGTTGTACCGCATAGAGATAGCAGCTCTTAAGCTTAAAGGAAGTTATATTTGCCGGCTAGTGTTGTGCATTCTTCCAGTTTCGTAAGAAGTTGTAGAGATTGCGGCTCATGCTGGTACACTTCTTATGTAGTTTATTTGTCCTATTTCATAGGAATTTTTGAGCTCGTGTAAATGTTTAATCGCAATCTAGTGAACTCTGCCTGGACCTTTAAGCCCACTTGATCATTTTATTGACCTTGCTGCAGAGTTCTGGACATATGTGGAGAAGTCATCTACATGGACCGATCTTCCTTCGAAGTTTCCCACAAAATACGTGCAGTTTCCAGTGAGGAGCTTTTCTAGTTAATTTTGTTTGCTGCATGACAACGTGTTGTTTAATCTGACATGTTTGTAATAATATTTCAGGTGTTCATAGCTCCAATTCATTCAAACTATGTTGACTGCAACAGGTGGCTTGGTGATTTTGTTCTGTCAAAGGTAAAGTCCTTGATTAAGCTAGCCAATATGAACCTTTGATCAGAGTCTCAAGGATCTTCCTTTCTCAGCCTTTGGAATGTCTTCACTGGGCATCACTATCAATTAAAATGCACCCTTATCATTTGTGTTGCATTTTCTGTTGCGAAAACAATGAAATGAGATAAGAGAGCTTGGGAGCATGCTCTTCTTTTTCTCGATAATCTTTCACTTTGCGAGTGTGGACTTCATGGTCACATATGGTCAAAGCTTTTGAGCCTGGTTCTCTATATTAGAGTCATTTTCGTGTTTTTCTCTTCACCCTCTCTCTTTGAACTCTATTTGATTTGATTTTCTTTGATCAATTTTTACATTATCGTGCAAATTCTAATCTATTGGACAGTGTGCTTATTTTTTTCCCCTTGTGCCTCTAGAGTGTTGACAATGAGATTGTGCTTTGGGAACCTAAAATGAAGGAACAATCTCCAGGGGAGGTTAGATCGTGCATCCTGAAATGATTTTCCCTCTAAATCAATAGAAAACTTGATCATTGAATTATTTCTCTATATGGTGGGCTCAGGGATCAGTGGATATCCTTCAGAAATATCCAGTTCCAGAGTGTGACATTTGGTTCATCAAATTTTCCTGCGACTTTCATTATAACTCGATTGCTATAGGTACCTTAAAGCCCATCATCCTCCAGCTTCGGCATATTTGAGTTCCATTTGCAATCTTACAGCTCCTTTAATTTGCTTTTATCACTTCGCGGTCAATAATCTTTAGCATAAGTATATACTACTGATCTAGTCATGCTTCACTTACTTTCTTGGATTCAACAAGTGTATTTAACTTTCGAGATTTTAGTCGACAAGGGAAATCACTTTTGTCTTGATCACATACCAGGAAATAGGGAAGGGAAGATCTTCGTATGGGAGCTGCAGAGTAGCCCTCCTGTTCTAATCGCAAAGTATGGATGGCTTCGCTTTGTTTTCGTTTATCCTTGTTTTAGGAATTCGTGATTGGCACTTGTATCTTTATCCCCACTGCTCAATCATGTGTCAGGCTGTCTCATGCTCAATCAAAATCCCCAATCAGACAGACTGCCATGTCATTTGACGGGAGGTAACTTAGATCTATCATGACGAGGAAATGCCAGGAATCTCTCTTATGGTTTTGACTTCTCAGAGGTTTTTTGTTCTTTCACAGCACAATCCTGAGCTGCTGCGAGGATGGTACCATATGGCGCTGGGACGCAATTGCAGCATCACCGTCCTAAACCTTCTATGGGACAGAGAGTGGGAAAAGTCGTTTTGTAATTTGTGAATCCCTCTTGTGTGGGCATGTCCTCTATTATGCATCCGCTAAACAGGAGCTCCTTCAAACTCTTAGTATGATGGAGACTCAAATAGCATCACCGCACAGATGCGAGTGGACAACTGCTTCTTGGTAATGAGGAGAGTAAGTAGGTGATTTGGTTGTGCATCAGTCTGAACGATTTATAAAGTTACTTTTTGGTGTCAAATGAACTCTGAATCATTTCAGTTCGCAAACTGAGATTTTTACCCTAGAAGCATGCAGTTTAATCTACCATCACTTCCCTGAGTGGGGCCTCCGCCCAATGCACTTTTGTTAAGACGAGAATGAACAAAGCCACAGGTCAAGAGCACCGAAAGATGAACGAACTCGCGTCCGTGATAAGACACGGTCGTGTTGGCTTACATTTATTGTGTAGGGCAGGTACAACCGTATCGGGCCAATTACAAAGAACAACCATCTAATCTTCACCGGATGTAATTTCTCCCTCGTTGGTAGGCTCTTTGCAAATATAGCCAGCCCGATTGTAAGCGACAAACTGTGCCCAAATTTACTATTACACGATCAAATACCTAATATAGGCAATGTATAATTATTCAGTAAGTAATCGGGATATAGGGATGCCAGAGACGCCGGCCCAGAAGAACTTCTCTCTTTTGAATGCCGTTAAGTGCCAGAAATATAGCTGTGCACGCTGAAGCAAAAGGATCTCACAGATTTTGAGAAAATCCCACTTGATCTCATTCTCCAGAAGAACGGAACATGGTGTATAAGGAGAAACATAAGGACAAAACTGAACCTATTACAAGTGGTTCCTTTATGTCTCGGGACACGGTCCTTGTCATGACAAAATTCTGTATACGGATCAGACATCTTACTTTGCCCGATTGCTATTCCACACATAAACTGGACATGTACGGGGCAACATATTTGTATACTGTACACAAAAGAATGGGCATATACTATACACTTGAGCTCCTCTTCCGTCAAAATTGCAAAGCAAGGGAGTGAAAGTGTTGATTAAATATTCGTCCTCAATTGCTTCAATAATCTCTGGATATGTTCAAGATTCTGAGTGAGTTGTTCAACATCGGCGATATGTTGGGTAGAAGCACCTGAATTACCCAAAGCAGTCAGGAGAGCAGTGCACTTAGCTTGCGACTCTAAAACTGTCTCCTCAAGTGAAGCCACTGTTGAGGGAACCGTAGGAGGATCGTTAGTCATATAAGATGGAGAAGCAAGACTGATGCTGGCAGCACTGCTACCCCGGCTGAGTATGCCTGGAGTAAGGATCCTTTCGAGACCCTGACTTCCTGCAAATCATTAGTTCTGAAATCAACACGAGCACGTCCAAAAAATGGTGCAAGCAAACCATGTGCCCATGTAACATTGCATGATACAGCCTGGTTCAGCCCTAAAGATTCATGCCTTAATTAGATATTGCCCAATTTCAAACTATAAGATAAGCTATGCGAGTTCTCTGAGAATACCAGCATTTAGAAGCAGGACTCGAGAGGATGATAAAGATGCCACACTAATGTGTACACAAAAATGACGTGCATACTTCTATCACAAAGCAATACACTAGTTTCCGCCTAGAATTTTTAACTACTAGGATTTCAGAAATCGATCTAGCTCGTTTTGTCAAAGCGGCATCCTAGATGCTACTCTCGAAGATTCTGGATAGTCTGATCCACAGGTTCATTTTTTGATAACCAATGGTTCAGAGCCCCGACCCCCCCATTTATCCTCTATTTTACAACTTGGTACAGGTAGGACTTCTGTAGCACGATGAGATAGAGTCCAAGATAAATTGCGGATTTCCAAACATAATGACCTCTTCTTGCCTCTTGCCACGTCCCATCTTAAAAAACCCCCTAAAAACATCCCTTTTCTTAAGAGAGAGAGAGAGAAGCGTTGCATAATAACCAAAATAAAAAGATGATAGTATGACTCCTGAGAAGGAAAATCTGAAGGGAAAATAACACAAACAGTCCTTGAACTTTGACTCAATATGCAATTTAGTTCCTGAACTTTTAATTTGTTCAATGTAGTCTCTAAACTTTAACCCAATGTTCAATGTAGTCCGTGAACTTTCAATTTGTTTAATGTGATCCCTGAACTTTTGGTACATGCTCAATATAGTCTCCGAACTTTATAAAAATGTTCAATGTAATCCTTCCATTAATTCAAGTTCATGGACTATATTGTACATTTTCATGTAGTTCAGGGACTAAATTGAACATGTACCAAAAGTTCAGGGATCACATTGAACATTAAGCTAAAGTTCATGGACTACATTGAATAAATTAAAAGTTCATGGACCAAATTGCACATTGAGCCAAAGTTCAAGGACTGTTTGTGTCATTATCCCAAATCTGAATAATATATGCTCCAGAGGACTTCAATTAATATTACCAAGGTTGCTTAGCTGGTCTATGGCAGCTTGACCAACAGAATCTTCCAGCTTCAGCACACGCAGGACTCCAGCAGTAATTCGTCCCATCGAATCAATTTCAGATTTGCACAGAAAGGCGAGATGTTTAAGCTCATCCCGGGAGACAACTACTTCAATCTGGAAAAAAGGGCTTCTCAGCAGAAAAGTATGGAAAACAGAAAGAGACGTGGTTCAGTATATTTACCGGTTTCTTGACTGAAAACTTCAAATTTTCAACCATCCACTTGGCCATTTCACTATCTGCATCATCCTCGGAGATTACCATGCGAACTTCAAGATTTATCCCCTCGTTCATTTGAAAATTTTGTTTAATCCCATTTGAATGTACACCAGCTACAAGGATTTCCCCCTGGTATTGGGGCTTCAGGGTCTGCAGGCCTTCAATATCTATCTGCAAGGGCAATCAGAGTCGTTGGCAACATAACAAACTTCATGCAGATTTTCCAAAAGCTGTCCACCAGTTTCGATAATCATAACTGAAATAAACAATATAACAACGGATAGAAAATGTCGATCCACCTACCGGCCCATTTATGGCCCATTTAAACACTAAATCATTTTCTGTGATTTTGAGCCAAAGTGATTTCCCAACTCTCAAATACTTATCAAACTTAGATGTTCTGATGATAATTTGTGCCATTCGAACATCTTTAATCTAAAACAGACTTCCCCTTTAATGCATTAGGACCAGTCCACTGTGAATTTACTCATGTTCGTAATAAAAGGTATGAGGAACATACCGTCTTCCTATGGACTAGGATGGATCCAAATTTAAGGAAATTTCAAGAATGATAAAAAGTACAAGCACATAAGAAGCTGACCTGATCTAAGTCTTCCCATATAAAACTGATAGTTAAAGGAAACAGATGGCTACAGCTTCAGATAAAGCAAGATGACCTCACATGTAACAGACAAATGTAAGCATCAAGTGACAAGACACAGAGACTGGACCAAGTTCGTTTTTAACACTAAACTTTGATAGCTACATTATGCAATATACATGTAAAAAGGCATAATTCCAAGCACTGCACCTAGAAAGTTTAGATAAGATTTCTCAGGTGCATCATGACCCAACAGACAAGTTTTGGTATTTTCTCAAAAGTACTTACCCAGCCAATGTTGGCAAGAAAGGCTTGAATCAAACAGGATTGCAAGAAAATATTAAAGTAAATAATGGTTATTAATTTTCCTTCAGCTAGCAACTAAAAGCTCATTGATAAACTAAAACTGTCGGTACAAGTTGAAAAATCCATATTTTTACTTACAATGACTGACTCCAAAGGCAACTTCCACGCTGGATTAGATCTTTGTTTGCAACTAATTCCGTTCTTCGATTCGCTTTTAGCTTCTATTCGCAAACACTTAAAAGACGTGTGCCAAGACCTCTCTTCTCGTCCGACATCTGTGAGATCGTTATACTGCCAACTTTCGGCCATCTCTTGAGGACCTTCTAAAGCAAAAAGCCAGTCTTTCAACTCTACAGATATGTCAAAATTATCTGGCTTTGCTGAGTGCAGAAAACCATTGTCTTTTCCATCTCCTGAAATTCCAACACGGCAGATAGACTAGATATAAGTCAAGTGCCGTAATTATGAGTAAAAAAAAATGATATGGTAAAAGGATAACCAATTGCAAAATCTTTTCATACTCTTTTCTAGATCATCTGCATTAAGTGGTGATGCCTTAAATAGTTTGGCTAGAGGCCCGGAGGACAAATTATCCAACCCTTTCAACAGTCCTTCTCCAGGACCACCATCTGGACCAAGTATTCCAAATCGATGCAGCAGGGACTCGGCATAGTTCATTCCACCACCAAGGCGAACACCAGAAATGAGAGCTGACACATTTAAACTACGACACTCTATGTCATCCTCATCGAATGGAATCACTTGCACAGTACTTATGTCGAGAAATGGAACTGGATACGGTTGATACTTGCTTTTGTTATTTATCCACAAGACAGCTCTTAGTTTAGGGGTTTCACTCCCCATAACCAGATTACCATTGTCCTCAGTACTCAACACCAAGCCATTCTCATCACCCAAATTTCTCGGAGTATCTACACAATCGACCTGAATGCTCTCCCACCGTAAAGTGGATGAAACAGCAATGGCACCTCCAAGGGTTACATGAGAAACTTTGATGAAAATATTATCTCCAATGAATTGAACCAGTGGCATGTCCTCCATCACCAAGGAAGAAGACTCCAGAAATCTAAGCTGCAGATCCTTTACAGCTAAACTCACAGCAGTGTCACTGGGAACCCTGTCCACTAGCCTTCTACTAACAGCTTCAGTTCTCAATTTCCTTGCTCTGCTGTTTCTTCCAACTAGAGCAATCTTTTCACTGATTCTTCCAATATAGGCGTAGAGATCCAGCACAAAGAACAACTGCTCAACAGAAGTGTTGGATAGATACTGTTGGCATGCAACTCCCACTCTAACAATCCCACCTGGAGGAGGGACATCTGTCAAGGGTTTCCCATCAGAAGTAGCCGTTGCTGCTTCAAAGCGAGCATCTTTAACCTCAACACATGGCCACGAATCTGATGTATTGTTACGAGAATGCGGTGCTTCGATGACAGCAGCACATGCTTCTAGAGACAAACACACCAGTGATGCTTCAGTGATCCATTTCTTCTGGCTAGCATCAACGGGTTGGTCATCCCATAAACAAAAGCAAGCAGGATCCTTTTCCAGGTTCAGTAGCTGCGTTTTCAGACAAGGTGATTCTGAAAATGATAAGTTTTCAATACGAAGCTTTGCTCCAGTCAAAGATTTCTGGACAATGTCTTTCCCGTTCTCAGAAGTTAAATAGTTCCCAAACTCCAACGGAACTGTAAGTTCTAACTCCTTGAGCGTAAATGAAAGGGAGTTTATGGAAGAATCAGGTAAAACAGCTCCTGGACTCACAATAATTCCATCTGCCAAAAAGGAACATATCCTTAAACAGGAATCTTCCTGAAGAAAGATCTGCCAAAGAATGGTTCAAGTCATACTTTAGAAATACTAAGGTCTATCTGCACCTGCGGCAAGTAAACTATTGAAGGCAAAGTATAGACGATTGATGAATACCATGAGAGGCTGACAGTTGATGACTGTCTCAGTTGCAAAGGAGGGTGGGGCAGGGGATGGATTGACCTGGAGAGAATACAAGCATATCAAAGGAACACCTACACTTCTCTGCCATTCATGTTCTCCCAAAGGATAAATTGGAGGACAAAAATTTTTAGCTGCAAGAAAAAAAAAGCCAACTTAAAATGACAACTAACAACCTGATGTCCATGATAATCTGCCGAGTACATGATAAAATTAACTGATACCAAAGTCAGGAATGTCCTCAATATCTTTTGCAACAGTCAGCATTGATGGTTGAACCAAAGTGCATGGAGGGCGTGAAAAGGTGTCCCTGCAATATATTTCCTAATATAAGGCACCGTTTTGATCATCCAAAAGTACGTTAAATCGACTTAGGGACACAAGACATCATTCAAGCACTCAGTCATTTTTTGGAATAGAATTGAAGGAAATAAATTGTTTTGCAAGAGTAAAATTAAAGGTGAAGAAATTTTCCCTTGTTTGGGAAGTGAGGGAAAATGGACAAAGTAATTGTGCCTTATTTTCTCCCCATCCCTCAATTTACCTCTCCTGTTCTACTCTCCCAAACAAGGCCTTAAGTTCCATACCGCAAATTTATCCTTCTCCATACTTGAAAGAAATATTAACAGCATCTATTCTTAAACTAAGACCGGAAGTATTAAAGGAATTTTGAAGACATCAGTAAGAAAATTTCGAACACGTTATTTTTTCAATTCAAGGCAAAATGAGTTTGAGGATTGTCATTGTGTATTTCCTGTTTCCAAAACCATATGAAGAAAGTCAACAATGTAAGTCTGACTGAAGGGTAGATTTACTTTCAGAATATGTTATGGCAAATGCCAAATGGTGTCAAAACCGCCGACACAAGGAATTGAAGCTCCACCTTTATCTAGCATGTCAACTGTGAAAGTTGAATAGCATTTCACAACAGAAACATTCCTCCAAGAAGCTATTTGCAACAAAAATTATTCAACAAAATACAGGAGCTAACCTTAAGAAAAGACCACCAACCATCAATCTTGTCAAGTTATTGGCACTTTCTCCATCTGAGACACTAGCCTGCAGGGTCCAACATAAAATATATAATTGCAGACCGGCTTTAAGGCAAGCAATCCAATATAAGATCTATGAAGAATGGACAGAAACGGGCTGTTATACTTATCTATACAGGAAAAGGAAAAAAATTCTACATTTAGTCATGCACTTAAGAAATAACTAGAAAATCTCACAGAACAAATAAAAATAGAAGTGCCCGCATCCTAAAAACACACACCCTGAAATGTTGAAGTGAAACTTTCAAGAACCTGTTGAACAATTTGCCAAACACAGACATGCTTCAACGAAAATGTGAAATAATTAGTTCATGGGAAAGGTCTAGAACTTATTTTGTCAAATGTTTAATGTGTGACTTCCTTTTGTCGCCAATTATAGCACATTACTTGTTGCTCCCCCTTTTAACAAAAGATTGGTCTGGTCCTGAAGTTTTTCAGCTAGATGAGAGCCATAACATCTAACAACATCCATCTCCAAAATGCTATAACTTTACACTACACTTGACTTCAAAAGGCTGAATTTTGCAGAAAATTCAGCCCATTTTGACAAAATACAGAAGCCTTCATTGATTGAGCAATTCCAATCACACTTAAGCTTTAAACAGTAAATACTTAATTAGACACACCAACAGCACCAGTTCCCTAGAATTGTCAATGCAATGTTATTTAATAAACTCCTCAAATTGCCGATTCAAGATATTTTCTCTGCAAATGTACAAGACAACTTAGACAAAAGAACATGAAAAATAGAAGGAAAACAATTAAAGTTGCAACGAGGTTCTCATACTTGTTCAATATCAACAATTAGAGACCACAATGCCTAGAGTTCAATTGTTATGTCATTTCTCACAATAAGAGTACTTTGCTAGATTGAATTTCAGCTTGCGTTATGCAATGAAGAAATGGCATCTCTAAATATAAAATCTAATGTGAAAGAAAAACAAGAAAATAATTGTAGTGCCACAAGACATACTCGAGAAAAATGGAGTGATTGCATCAAAAGTTCCAGCTGAAACCCTGCAAGTAGATATGAATGTAAGAATTATCTTAAGTTGAAAGAGAACGCCTAAAGCTGAAACGCCATTAGACTTGAGTCGACATTTCTGAGAAAACTTAGATAGGAAAAGAATTAAAGGGTTGTAGCAGAACGAACCAGCATCTTTAATGCATAAAAAAATGTGGTCCACTATAATTGATACGAGAGAGTGACCAGCTGCTTCTACAGATCGCTGTCAAGATAATATATGAAAGAAGAGATGGAGATTTTCAGCAGAGAGTAGCAACAGTCTCAAGCTTACTCAAAATGGTAGTGGTGAAATCTAAAACCTGTTGAGCCTTTAAATCCACATCTCCTCTATTGAGGCAGATGTACAGTCCAGTCAAGAAACGGAGAAGAGCACGAAGTCCTGCTCATATGATGCTAGATATCAACTCCAGCTATTTATGAGACAAGCATCACCAGGGAATAAGATCCAAGAAAAGAAAACCTAAGATACCTGGTTCACTTAGTGCAGGACAAACAGCTTCTGTAATATGTAACTGAACCTCAAGACCAAGAGGTGTATTTAGTTCTGTCCTCTTCACTGTGATCTATCATAAAGTCATAGAAAATGCATCAACATTTTAATTGTCGCACAAATTACCTTGTTAAACTCACAGAGTCAATATACGATATAAGGGAAAAATATTCATCAATTTCTAGCAAAGACAAAGTCAAAGTCGTATTACATAAGCCTCTCCCGATATTCCTTCAATAAAACGCTCCCCACCAAAGAAAACTCGCTTTGCCCCATCATCATCTCTTAGATCTGCTCCTTCTTGTGCACGTGCCAGATTGGCCTCCGAAAACATATCGGGATGAGGAAGAAGATCGATAGATAAAGATTCCCATTCAAGTTTCTGCTCAATGATCACCAAGCATCATTAGCCATCAGAGTAGAATGCACTACCACATCTTTGATCTTTGGGGGGAAAAATTGAAAGTGCTTACTTGAAACAGATAACATCCTAAGCTTTCAAAATTATTGAAAAAAGTGTATATGAATGCACACAAGAGCATTTGAGCTCACACAAACACAAGTACTTGTAAATACGGGCACTTCAGATTCAGAACATTCAATAGCTACATCTAACCATATGCCTATAAATACAGCAAACAAGTTCAGATGATAATCTCATACATAACACCCTTCGACAAAATTACAGAACAAGCTGTGCACTGCATTTGCATCTGGAGATGATTTAAGTAAGCAAATTACCTTGAATACATATATATATTTACTGTTACTGAAAAATTCACGTGCTTCCTTGAGATTAACAACCTGCAATAGTATTGTCAGAATCGGCATGAAACATGTAAAGCCAATTATAAATTATTTATACAAGCAGACCACCTGCCAGTTTTCGTTCGTGGTGTACAGAAGAAGATTGCGTATAGTTATAGATGCCAAAGGTGATGCCCTGTGTATACAACAAGTAATTAGCATTGACAAGCGCCAAAAACACATGCCAATCCAGAATGAAGATAAAGAAAGATTGGAAATGGTTGGGATTAGCACTAGTCAGAGATAACATGAAGCAAATCCATTTAGAGTTTATAGACCATAAATCAGAAGATTTTATCCCAAATAGCCAAACAAATATCTCCAGGGAACTCTGAGAAGTGGTAAGCAGCAGGTTATTCTATTTCCAACATTTGAGATAGAAGTAACAACAAAAGAAAAATACCCGAACATACCGAGTTAACAAAAAAATTAAGTGGAGGGCACAAATTGGGAAGAAAAGATAGTCAAGCGTCACCAGTGAACTTCAATAGTTGAGTAAAATCTACATATGCAGATCTCGACACCAAAAAAAAATTTCTTTATACAAACTGCATCTGACACATTGCATATTCTTGTCCACATTTACATTGCCACTCCCACTCTCCTACAACCTATCACCATTATAAACTGAGAGCTCAGCATCATTTGATCGAGCTGGAAACGGGAAGTCCTTTCGCCTATTACATGAACTATAAGGTCACACCATCAACAGATGAGCACCATCATTTTGGAAATAGGCTGTGTCTACATGTTTCATTTCACAGTCAATCCACGTGTCACGAAGTAACCTGGAATGATTATGTCAAGACACCATAATATGGCATGTCATCAGAAGCATATAATGAGCTGCTATGTGATGCCTTCAGCATGATGAGAATAGAAAATATATTATTAGTTCAATTGAATTTTGTCTAGGATCAATAGTTGTATCAAGAATAATCTTTCAGTAAACACCTAGAAAGAAGTACGTGAGTGGATATATATTAAGCACACAGTCCTTTATTTTAATATTTTGAACAAAACTTTCCTAAGACGTGAGACATTTAAGACAAAAAGTTGAAGGCACCGCTTATTTAAATTGATAATTTACATGCCGTGTAGTCAATAATCTACTTTTCTTGAAAAATATTATTGCCTTCTCAAGTGATAAGTTTGGAAGTCCAAAATTTACTTGTAAGACACCAAATTAACACATGATCGATCGACATGATTTTGACATGTAAAAGGTTACTAGAGAACACTTCTTGGTAAATCCATGTTAAGATGCACCTTTTTACTTTCAAGTTCAAAAATCAACATGTGTATTGGATAGAAATCAGATTGTACAGAAAAATATATATTTTCAACACGGATATGATTACTGCGGATCTAAACATGTCCTGTCAAGATCAAGTTGTGTTCTCAACGCATGTGTCTTGGATAAAAGTTAAATTTAGTACAGAAAAATATATATTTTCAACACAATTATGATTACTGTGGATCTAAATTTGCTAATTTTGTGTCAAGATCAAGTTGTGTTCTCATGTAATGCACAATAATATTCCGCGTTGTGCTGGGCCAAGGATTGCCTAATATAGGCAAATTAATAATTATTAAATAACTACACAAAAATGAAGGGAGGTACATAAAAACAAGTGCTTAAAGGTCGGAGTGGCTGATGAAGTGATCTTGTGAGAGTAGGTTTTCGAACCAACTCTGGGTAAACCATCCCATTTTAATGATATAGATTGTATTCCAGAAACAAGTAATTTCCGGTCATGGATAAGTTCTGCACTATACCTCCCAAGGAAAAACAATAACTCACCATGCGGCTCCTCCTTGACTCTTGCCACCTCCACGAGTTTCAAGAAGAAGATTGACAGTGGTAACCTCCAAAGTCATTCCATCTGCAATCTAGAAATTCAGAAGCACAAAGTAAATATATTTTGGAGCAGTATTTCTACATTCAGCAACATTCATAAGCAACTTAAGCGCTCAAGTAGCATGGATCTATAGAGACCTTCGGCTGAATGTGATGAAGGTGGATCTAGAGAGATGGAAAATCAAGTATCTCAGAAAGTTGACTTAGTGCTACAAAGAGAATACCAGGCAGGAGAGGGAAAGAAGGGCATGGAAACATAAAGGACAAAAGGAATTCATTCTATACAAGGGAATGAGATGCACAGCCATAAATCAGGGCACGTTCACGGAGAAGAAATAAAGACACAGAAAAACCCAGCCCACAACACCCCCCCCCCAACAAAAAAAAAAAAAAACACTATGAGCTCACATTCTAGACTTGTCGTTTGTCATGAAATGAAAAGCTTTTGGCCATGGGCACCTCGCCTGATTTTAGATCGCAAAATAACTTAAGTAAGATGCTGTTTTAGAATCCTGCGCTAATCATGCACATAATAGCCAAATGCAGTCAGGAAGTGAGAAGTTGGAGTACGCCAATAAGTCATGTCCAATTACTCCAAACAAAGAAGTACTTGAATGCTAGGAGAACTTTTGTAATCAAAGCAAGCCTGACCTTATCAGCAAATCCGTAACCACTACTCCATCCAGAGCCAGCAGATGATGGTGTACTGCAGAAGAATTGAAGTCAAAACAGTGAAGTCATCTGCAAAACCAAGATCGACAGGAAGCATGATGCAATATCTCATGCCTAATGACGTCCACATTACCTACATGAAGTCCTAGACACATCAGCATCCGGATTCTCCTCCAGAACCAGATCAAGCCTGTCAATTTGCACCACAATTGGCTCCACCTGGACGTTGCTTACCGATGGAAGCTGTAGGAAAACAAATCAAACAACTCGAGTTAACTGTAAACGAGACTCCACTGAACCCGAAAACTTCCTAATCCAGGGGTTTTAAATATAAAACTAGTTGTTAAAGGATTGCCAGGGCACCCAGTGAACAGCAATCTCTTAGACTTCCATTGTAGTAAACATAGCAATTTCCATTTCATTTGTCCTGCTTCTTCAAACATCTCTAGTAATCGAACAACAGATAGACAAGCAACTCCAAATACAAAAAAAAAAAAAAAAACAGGTCCAAAGAAGAGAAAACTTACGATTATCGTCAACTTGCCAACCTTGGCCGTCGTCACATTCAATGCCGGCGGCAGTCCAACACTCGAATGCAGAGCATCTCCATTGATATCTAAAAATGCCGAAGGAGATCGTCAATCCACCAGCTCATCACGCAGCATTCCAACAATCCATACCAAAGCGATTGGCACTCACACACTCAACAAAACCAGCAAAATCAAGACATACAAACACTGAATTGATCCGATACAGCACAATTGCCAAGCGGCGAACAGCCATTTCCATCGATCGCGGCATCAAAACGAATTGGAGCAGAACTCCGCAACGTGACACGAGGAGAAAGTACGGGGGAGATTACCTAGATTGGAGAGCTGAACGGTGCGACCTTGCAGCCGGAACTGATCTCTGGAGAAGGACTTGAGCCAGTACTTGAGAGTGTACTCCAAGGCCCGAGCCAGTATCGACTCCATCGCTCCGAGCTCCGCCGCGATCGCCGCCGGCGAGGAACCTCCGCGCGCTCCGGGGAACTTCCGGATCCGCGATCGGGCATCCAACCGGAGACCTAATCGGGTTCGGGCTGAGGGGGTTGGGGAGGGGAGGGGAGGGGAGGGAGGATCCGGAGGCGAGAATGCTTCCCCCGAAACGTCTGGTTTTTCAGGAGAAGAAATGAGATTCTCTCTCTCTACCTTTCTCTCTCTTCTGATCTCTCAGCTGGCTAGCTGGCAGGTTAGAATCTCGGAACAGTGGGAGAAAGGGCGGGGGGAAGGGAGGGAAAAGGGATGGGGGGCTCCGAGGCACGTGCGGGGTGGGCGGCACGTGAGGGGGAGAATGGGTTCGGACCACTTTAACAGTCTGAAGAGGAAGCAGCGCGTTGGATCGCGGGGGATTTTGTCAGGAGGGAGGATTTGTCGGTTTTGTCTGCGCTCCTTTTGGTTAAAAAAGAAGGAGAAGAAGAAGGAAAAAGTGAAAATTGATGCAGGGAAGATAAGATCTGGGTGGGATAGTGGGTCGTATCATGGCTAACTCTCGAAAGAACCATCAGCCTGGAGGCTAATTTCAATTCTGCTTCGTCTCGACTCTCATTCTGTTCCCAAGTTTATCAACCAGTCAGAAAACCGTTACCAGTTTTTTCAGGATTATCGTTATCAGGAAGCCGCTATTATTATATACGAAGTAATGGGTGTTGATAAAAGACGTAGATCTTGATAATGAATTTCGAACTGACCTTACTAATGATAATTTGGAAAAATCGGCAGCGATTTTTTAATGCACTAACAGATTTAGGATTGCAATGAAAGTTGAGAGTTTTTTTTTTCGGACAAGAAAAAAATGAGTTCAAGACGGAATTAGGATTAAACCTAAAATTGTTGATTTTAGGGGATTAGGGCTAGCATCGTATCGGGTGATTATAATCATCTTAGATGGTACAAACATAACTTACTCATTTAACCACCTAGCTATTTTTATTGAACTTACGTTTCGAATCAACATCCCGATGATGCGGTGATACCACGTAAGCACAAAGTATATATTTTCTAGAGCAGCCTTTTCTTAGTCAGCATTGGGGTTTATACTAGAAATGTGCACATTTTGCTTCGGCCGTATGGCGTCAACTCCACTTTTTTCGATAACTGGGCTGCTGCAATTGTGGGGTTTATTTTAGCAGTAGATGACGAGGAGTTGTCGGGAATAATTAGCGTACAGTGATGCTCCCCTCCCTTTACCGATTCGAATTAATTATTGGGACCTGTATGTATGGCCCTCGAACGTTAGCTTCGAACGTTAGCTTTTCTATTTATCAAAGTGAGTCCCTTTAATTTGGACCGTACAAGTGCGCGACTTTAAAAGAGCATTGATTTTACTCAAATCAAAATATTTTTCATGAAAATCATTTTAAATTTTTTTAAAATTTTCATTTATTTGGTAGTTTAAAGAAATTAATTTACTTTTTTTTTGGCTAGAAAATTAATTTACTTCTTATTAGAAGAGAGAGTCGTTTTACCTCAATCTAAGATTGTCATTATCGGTCCATTGAAGATTTTTTTTTATAAATTAATTAGTTTTCCGTCATCCAAATACTGAAAGTCAAAAAACGATTTCTCAGAAGCAGTTTTCTTTCAAATAGATAGACCCTAAGTTGATTATACATGAAGAGGAAGTAATCTTATTTTGAAAGAATTTTGGTTATTATTTAAGTGTATGGATGTGATGGGCGGTTATTAAATACGTGTTAGTTGAGTTGTTACTTGAGATGACGAAGAGAAAATAATGAATAGTCAGTACTCGTATAATTCGATGCAAATGGCTACGCGTTCAAGAAGTGAGATAATGAGAGGATTTGGCTTAATACATAGAAAATACTTTGCCTGGGAATGTCCACGAGGTGTAAGGAAGAGCAAAAGGAGACATTAAAGTTTCTAATATTGGCGTTCTTCTTACTTATGTCATTAGATTTGCATGACTTTTCATGAAATCCGAGAATTATTTAAGGTAAACTTTTTCTCACCATCAAAATATAACAAAAGAACAAGCTACTACCAACATATTGAGATTCGGTTATTTAATCTACTGTCATAATACCATCATCTTGAAGAGCGAAATTCAGATACACTGAGAGGAGGGAAATCTTAAGCATTTACCACATCGTCTGACCTTGCAACATACCGAGAAAGTGACTAGGTCTTGTGACAACTCGTTTTCATTTTTGGTCTATCGCCGCAAGTCGTTGACCTTAGGTCACCATGCAAATAGCGAAGCTTGATATTTAGGTTTATATCGGGTAACTTTTGTTGCAAGTAATCTTAATCTTTACACTAGCTACGTTTTGTAAGTAAGCTTAATGTGTACACTAGCTCTGCATTGGAACTTGAGGGTTGGAATTCAGGAAGTCAACTCGATCCTAGGACGAGCAACGCCATGCAATTTGCAAAGCCGATTTCAACCACTTGCAAGGAGAGAACTTTTTGCTCAAGGAACACAAACCGCCCTTTTTCTTTAGGAGTAAAACTCTCAACCATTCATGATTCTAACATTGAATATGTCCCAATTATGAAATAGTTGACCAAAAATGCATAAACTTATTGTACGGTGACTAATTCAGTTATAAACCTTTCATTTGTATCAATTCGGTTCTACACCTTTCGATGGTTTGCCAATTTAGTCATAAACCTTTCAATTTATCAATTTAGTCATAAACCCCTTTAATTTATCAATTCAGTTCTAAACCTATTATATGGATAATTTGCCGAAAAGACTATATTGATAAATTGTCAAAATGCTTAGAGCTAAATTCGCACGATTGAAAATTTTATGACTCTAAATGGGTAAATCGTTAAAAAGTTTAAGACTTAACTTGCAGAAATGAAATGTTTAGGACTGAATTGGCTGCCATACAATAGGTTTAAGACTTTTTGGATGATTTTTCCCTCAATTCTCGTTCCACTTCGAAACTTCTTCACCCTATAGCATCTCTGCTTGAGAATTGTTATACCTGCTTAAAATTAACAATATGATCATAAAAATTTTCATTAATTTCATTAGATTGATGTATAGGCGGGATTTTGACATTTGCATATTTTGAAGGATGAGAATTTAAAGATTAAATAGGGCAATCGATATTTTCGTTCTCGAGGACTACATAGATTCGGACTAATCGCTCACTACCAATTTAGCTAGCAAGTAACTATTCAATTGGCCCTAAGTAGTTGCTCAAGTGGCAAGTATGTTCATTTTCTTCGCTCAAAGTCTGGATTCAAATAACCACACATGCATATGCTCTCGGCCAATCCATTGAGTATAGACGTGTGGTCTTCGACAATTACTCGGAATATGCGGGATGGGGACCCACCGTATCATATAAACATTAGGAATTAATAGAATGCGCAAAGAACTCCGGACATTTCATTCATATAAAAAAAAAGAACAAGTAAATTCTAACTATTCCTTTTTTTTTTGGGGACAAATAACTATTCCATTAAATCGATGGTGTTCGATTTAGTAAGCCCTCGTGTCGTGAAAAGAAAAAAAAAGAGAAAGAAATGCTGAGAATCCATCGGGAAAAAAACATAAAATTGAAAAAAAGGATATTACATTCCGCCGCTTCCAGGCGGCAAGAAATTCCAAAAAAAAAAGAAAAGAAGAAAAAAATAAAAAACAACAAGACAAAAGCGCGCCTGCGAAGGCTCGAGCGTAATCTACGCAAATGGACAGCGATCAGATGGGCCCCACCGTGTCCATGAGGCTCTGAGCCCAGCTCATCAAGCCCATGTGCATAGTACGCAGACGGCAGATCCTATTGCAAGTTTACTCTACTCGGTAAGTATTAAATATATTTTATAAAAGTTATTTTTCTCGAATAACAAACTAGTTAAATTAATAAAATTAAAATAATATTTCAATATAAATAATATTTGAATTTTAATATAAATATTCAAAATAACAAAAACATAAAAATAATTTCGTTTTTTTTATTTTAAATATTCAAATTTCTTCCTATCTTATGATATAAATTTCATATATATAAATAAATACATTTAGTATTTATATTTATTAAATATTTTAGGTATATTAGTATAGTTTACTATTTTATAAAATTTTATTAGAGAATGATTGAAGGGGAGAAAGAAATAAAAAAATTAATTAATTAAAAAAGAGAGGGAAAAATAATAAAAAATAAGCAAATAAAAATGAAGTAGGTAAGAGTGTCGTGAGAGATTTTTATCATCTCCGTTTGTACAATTTTTAGGTTTATTTACACTAATATGATGTTCATAGCAAATAATGGACATGGTACGATGTGCAAATCTTTGGCGTTATTACTACGATTCACCAAACAAGAGATAGGATATAGCAAATCCCTTGGATTTCATATCCTATCTTATCAAGTCCTATCTTAACTAGAACTCCAGACGACCAAACGCAGCCTAAGTATATTTCGGGATTTTAATATTGGTATAATCCCATTTATGGAAAATATAAAAATGGAAAAAATAAAATTCAATGGTGCAATTTTGTACCATTTTTTGATTTTTGGGTACAAGGTTCGGGTGATGTATGAGCCAGCTCCCGCTCGCCTTGATTGATAAAGCGAACCATGAGACTAAATGTGCGATGTGGGCATAAAATCAGTTAATCCTAGTAATTTGAGGTTGTTTCGAACTCCACCCTCGAATCTAAATCGCATGTTAGGGGTGATCAATTCCCGGTCCGGTCCGGTTCTAAGGTAGAATTGGGAATTGGACAGGGAGGATCGGTTCCGAAAATTGAGAACCCGGGACCGGATCGGATCGGTGTTTTGGGATCCGGTCCATTGGAACTGGTCACTTAGAATTTAGTTCACATTTTACTAATTTTTGTCAATGAATTTCACTTAGGGTTTAATTCACATTTTACTAATTATTTTCAAAGAAATAAAAAAAAAAAAGTATATGTAGTCGGTCCGGTTCCTCCTTGAAACTGGGAACCGGACTGTTCGGACACCAGTTCCACTTTTAGGAGTTGAAAATCGAACCGACACTCCCGGGAACCGGACTCAATCGGCCTGTTCGATCAAGTCCGGTCCGAGCGATTTGCGGTTTGAACGGTCC